TTAAAAATTTTATCCGTGTTTTATTTCAGAGTCCTCCACCACCACATAATTTCCTTGCAATAAAAACAGTTTTCTCAGTTTAATGACATGTCTTACTTCTGTGCAGAACAATGTTGCTTTTTCAGTTATTAGTATATACGAAGTTTGTTAAAAAAATAAGGTGAATTTCAATTTTTCTCAAGAAATATTTATATATTGATTTTTTCAATCCTCGAAGAAGTTCAGTAGTGCCCTAACGCCGTTTGACGACCTCCTCCCACCATTTGACATTGAGTTATGTGCCAGACCATATGGCCTTGAACACAGGCGTTGACCTTGAGATTCGGGTCGGTCTTCGGTATGTGACCATGAGGTTTGACCTTGAAAGACGTTTCACGACCTTGATCTATGCACGTGCAATGTGGACCTTGAGCGTGCGGTTGACCTTGGAAAATTAGGTTGACAATGATATTGACCATCTGCACACGTAGTATGCACACGTAGATGGGATGATGGGAGGGTCACAAAGCAACAATTTCAGAAACACGACTGTCTTGACAAGTGGATTCAAAATCGTCTACAAATTCAATCAAAGATTTTCATATTACAATGCAGTTAACATCAAATTCCAACAGATGGCCCCACTTATGGACAGTTATGGAACACTTAGTTCGAACTAATAAATCAACGCTCTTTAGATGGGAAGGTGGGAGGGTTATTACAAAGCAACCATCTCAGAACCACGACTGTTTTTGACAAGTGGTTTCAAAATCGTCTACAAATTCAATCAAAGATTTTCATATTACAATACAGTTTACATCAAATTCCAACAGATGACCCCACTTATAAACGGTTATGGAATACTCAGTTCGAACTAATAAATCAACGCTCTTTAGATGGGAAGGTGGGAGGGTTATCACAAAGCAACCATCTTAGAACCACGACTGTTTTTGACAAGTGGATTCAAAATCTTCTACAAATTCAATCAAAGATTTTAATATTACAATACAGTTTACATCAAATTCCAACAGATGGCCCCACTTATAAACGGTTATGGAACACTCAGTTCGAACTAATAAATCAACGCTCTTTAGATGGGAAGGTGGGGGGGGTTATTACAAAGCAACCATCTCAGAACCACGACTGTTTTGACAAGTGAATTCAATATCCTTTATAAAATAGAAATAAATGTCTGGTCTCAGTCATGGTTCTGCAATTGTTGCTTTGTGTCCCTCCCACCATTCCCATCTGAAGAGCATTAATTTATTAGTTCGAACTAAGTGTTCCATAGTTGTCTATAAGTGGGGCCATCTGTTGGAATTTGATGTTAACTGTAGACGATTTTGTAGACTATTTTAAATCCACTTGTCAAAACAGTCGTGGTTCTGAGATGGTTGCTTTGTAACCCTCCCACCATCACCATCTAAAGAGCGTTGATTTATTAGTTCGAACTAAGTATTCCATAGCCGTTTATAAGTGGGGCCATCTGTGGGAATTGGATGTTAACTGATTTCGAAAATCTTTGATTTAATTTGTGGACCATTTTGAACCCACTTGTCAAAACAGTCGTGGTTCTGAGATGGTTGCTTTGTGACCCTCCCATCTAAATTTATTATTTCGAACTAAGTATTCCATAACCATTTATAAGTGGTGCCATGTGTTGGAATTGGATGTTACGTGCATTGTAAAATGAAAATCTTTGATTGAATTTGTAGACGATTTTGAATCCACTTGTCAAAACAGCCATTTTTTTGTTAACTTCAACATATATTTTTTGATGTGTTGGGTACCCATAAATTTTTTGAGAGCCTCACACCCGATGGGCTTTCGTTCCATCTCGTTGCCTTACAGTGAAAGGCAGAGAAAGAACCTTGTTCGTTGGTCAATGTTGAAGTTTCGCTTTGCAATCGACCACCTCAGGAAGCCTCGTTAATATTTGATATTCGCGGATTGAGTCTTTGATGCTATCTTTGTAAGTCAAAATAGACTTTTTTTATATACAAAAAATTCATTTAACAAAAGCTGAACAGTAATGCATCCCCCACTTTTTATGACCCCTTGAAAATTCATGAGCTGCTTCAGAGATAAAAATTCAAAATGAAAAACAGGTACTATTTACACAACTTTATTTGGAACAAGTCATAGAAATTTTTTTTGGAAGTTGCGGGACAAATTTTATTGGCTCAAAGCCTTCAGCGTCATAAATATCTACAATAAATACTCAACATACAACAATCATCTCATTAGACTTGGTTTAAAAACAGTGTTTATAAATTCGTAAAAAATAACAGTACACAAATTGAGCTTTTGAAGCTGGATACGATTAGAAGCTAAAACTTAAATTATTTGGTATTTAAACGAAATAAATTATGTGGTTAAAGATATACAGAACAAAGCGTACAATATGAAAATAGTCTAATCTGGAGGAAAATTCTAGTCACTGGCTATTATGCTCGTACAAACAACGAAGAAATCAAATAATTATAATAAGGCAACATATACAATAAATGCATTATCACTGCGTTAAAAATAGTAAACTTGAATGCTTCCCACAAAATTACAGACACTGATATGATAGTTTATTTCGATACTGTAGTCGACTCATTTAATCCAGTCCAGATTATATCATTTCAGAGAATTTGATCAAAGACACTAATTCTCTACAAAACTTTTTATTTTTGTAAATATTGAAAGAAAATTCACGACACTTTGGAAAGGTTCAAAAAATTTTCAAAAATAATCGCATATGCAAACCCATTTTCTATATATTTAAGATTAACAATCCAAAGAGTTGAATTACTCGCTAAAATTACAAAAAAAATATTTAAAATGTTCACCTATCACTATGTCTATAACACTTGTCTTTTCTCTGCCTTGCTATAATCCCAAAATATTTTTTCTGATAGTCCATTTGCAAATTAATGACTGGGAAAACTGATTTGTTGACCATTATAATACAATACATGTTTTGATTATCGATTCATGAAATTTCTTTGGCTAATACATATTATTTCTTAATTTTACAATTCTCTTCAGATGGTCATTTGAATTTTTTTTCAGAATATTCAATAGAACATGTTCTGGATCATTGTTTTTCATAAACATTTGGGCCCATTTCTGTCCAACTGTATTGAATCTTATCAGCTCTCGTCGAGATTAAAAATAAGGAAAAATTTCTTATAAAAACATTTCAATGTGAGATTTCCACTTGACAGTTTACAAAACCCCGACACGTGTTTCGCTACACAATAGCATCTTCAGGTGTCTCGATACTATTATATTGTGACAATACTACAATACACAATATGCTATACAATAGCATATTAAAGTGTCACGATACTATTGTAATATATATGTATATTGTACTATTGTCACAATACAATAGTATTATAATGCCTCAAGATGCTATTGTGATGCCTGAAGATGATATTGTAGAGTGAAACATGTGTGGCGGTTTTGTAAACTGTAAAAATCTCACATTAGTGTATTATTGAATACGTTATAATGGATTTTCATCCAGTATCGGTAAGTTCTATTATATTAGAGAAAAGTTTGTAGTTAGTACATCAAAATCATTTTTCAATTGTTTGTCTGGATTGTTTGTGAATGGAAAGCCAGTCCCCTGTTCAATTAAAAATTCCCGCTGAAAGTATTATTTTTATTCCGTTCACCAGATACTGAGTTGTAAAAGAGCATGATTAGTACGTGATTTTTCACAGGTCCATTATTACTGGTCAATTTTAGCGCGCCAAGATGCAGTTTCGAAAATCTGGGTGTTTATTTTGTATACACGCAAAGTGAATGTGTCACACTGTAGTGAAAAACCAGTTTTCATATTTTTTCTTTTCCTACTTGGAACACTTCATATTTAATTAGTCACTGAAATAACATTATAATAAAAAAAAATCATCATCAGTGAGGCATGACATGAAAACTTGTAATAACAAATACTAAAAAAAAAACTTATTTTTTTTAGATTCTTCAAATAACACGAGAAAAACAATCATAATATCAATTTGGCACCTCGGCTCCAGTTTGGATTCATAACATTTACACCATTTCAATTGTCGAATGTTTGATTTCTTATTTTAAATGTCTTTCTTCTTAAATTATTTGATCATTATTATTCGACTCCTAAAACAGTGTCACACTAAATCTTTCAAATTCTTCAATATATCCAATACTAATTTCCTAATTTTATTTTCTATATTTTCAAACATTTCACATTATAATTTCCTATACGTATTTCAAATTAATTATCTATATTTGTTCGTGAAATATTAGAGAAATTAGCATAATTTTTCCTTACATATCCAATGAAAATCCAGATAAATGAATTATTTGCGAGCGTCAAATCTTACTAAAACCAATTCGAATCGAATGAATAATTTAAAATATGCACATAGAGATTTGGAGACATAAAAAATTCAATTCTGTGGAAAACATTCAAGTATTTTTTGCAAATGCAGCAGCTACCAATGATAGTAAAAACAGCTGGCTAGGAGCCTATGGCTATGTCATCTATAAAAATTTACTTTACACGAGGTAGGTGAAGTAGTAATAATTCTAAGAACTAGTTTAATTCACAGAGTACAGAGTTGAATACGGTTAATCTTTGGCGTGGGTTACGAAATTTTCCTGAAAGTAATATTTTTTAATCATATATAAAATCTAAGTTCTCAGCACCATTTAATTACCACTGAAGACATGGCGTCATTTAAAATCTGTAGAAACAAAAAATGTTTTCAACACTTAAGATCATAAAGCAATAAACATGAACAAATGTAAGAAAATCAGAGAAGTGGTCAAAAAGTTTTTAGAATCGATATAGTAAAATAGTGTCTGGAAAGTGTAAGAAAGATATTATTCTAGGATTCATCAAAAGTAATTTTGAGGCTTATTCATCTGAACGGTTTCCTTTCCGACTCATATATTATTAACAATAGAAACAAGTTCTATTATATCGACCGTACTTCATCTACCTCACGGAGCAAAATCAAATCAACAAATGAATACATTTTTCGTTGCGTCAAAACTAGAAAATTAACTCGCTGGCGAAATCCTATAATTGCAACTTGATTGTTAAATTATAAATGTAACCCTTGGAATATTCAATATTTTCTTATGTCTGAGTTCACTATGAACAATTAACCTTAATATAAACTTTTTTGTGTATGGATGCCTGCAGTATGTCGTGTAATGTCTGCTGTAAGTAGACCCATTGTGATTCGAAAGTACATATAGATTATAACAACAAGGAGCCACACTGCTTCATAAATGTTCATATCTAATCCTTCTAGAGTAAAGTTGCTTCTAATTCTTTCCTTAGGAGATAATCTTTTCAAGAGAATTACTGAAATTGGGGGAAACTTACATATAGATATGAACTTTTTGTATTCTCTCCTTTCCTTGCAACACGAACTGCATCCAGAAAAAACTGGATGGAATTTCCACAGTGTCTGCACTTGATTGTGGATTTTAATTGACCAAAGAAATTGTCTACAATCTCATAAGTTGACCATCATTGTCAAGACTATTGTGCTTTTACGCTGTTGCTCAATTTTCCGTCAATTTTTGTTAAGATCGGTTTTTAATTACCCGAATGTTCAATAGGTATTGTTCTCCATATTTGTTTCAGTTCATAGAATTCGTTTTAAACCAAGAAAAAAACCTAAAAAAAAAACTGGTTCCTGCACAAAACTGTTTTAAAGAATCAATACGACCTCTGATTGATTAAATGAGATGAATCAACTGCCTTTAAACAAAAGTTTCAAATAAAAAGAAATATTTCCCTTACTACATTTGAGAAATTTGAAGTTCTTTATAAAACACCCTACAATATTATATATACAGAGACTAGTTGAAATTTGCAAAAACAAATTGTAGTAAGTTAAAAACTGAAAAATGTTGTTTCATAAGTTTGAAGAATTGCATCAAATTGTAGATGAATGTGTTGAAATATAAATTCTATCCAGTTAGAAGCAGGTTTTTACTGAGGAGGTCGACAGTTCAAAATGTCGATTATGACTGAATATTCTACAGTTTAAACTGTCGATAGAGCCATTACAGTCAATGAACAGTTTGAACTGTTAATTAGAGGTATTCAGCAGTTTCAAATGTCAATTATTGGTGAACCGCAGATTCATATGTTGACCACTTATAAGTAGTAGTGAAATATTCATCACGCTTCGCCAAAAAATGACAGATAATCAACAGTTTCAACTGTCAATTATAAATAATCCAGTTTCAACTGTCAATTATGGCTGATCAACAGTTTCATTTCACGACTACAGCGCCTTTGTAGGTTTCAATATAAGATAGATAATTTAAAATATTACAAATTTTGAGAAATTCAGAGGTTGTTTGACACTATGTAAATATATAACACGATTTCAACTGTCTATTATCGATAGTTGACAGTGTCAACTGCAGATTTATGGATAATCTACAGTTTCAACTGTCAAATATTGCTAATCGATAGTTTGAACAGTCGATTATTGAAAAATACTCTGTGGCGCTATTGTATGTTTCAATATGAAAAGTATATTTGAAATATTATAGATATCGAGAAATTTAGAAGCCATTATACTGCCTACTGGAATATAAAACATGTTTCAACGAAAAAGTTTGAAATTAAAAAGAAAACTAATAATAAACACGAAACTGTTTGAAAACAGGGAAATCCCAGAGTGTAAAATTTCCATTCTGTCAAATTTACAGCAATATCCAAGTTACTGCATATATTTGTGCAGCGGAAACTAAATCTTGATGCAATATTTTACGGTTTCCTTTCAGTTCATACATTAATTCTCAATGAAATTGGAAAACCTTTATAATCATCCAATCTCTTGATTTCCGTCCACACTGCCTAGTCTACAACATTAAATCATCAGCAGCTACTGCATTGAAGCATCGTCTATCCTAAAAATAAAAACAGCCTCACCGGGCAGGCGAGGGGGGTACGGATGGCGGAGGGGGAGGAGGATGCGGGGGTTTGGTCAAGTTCCGCGACGAATAGTGCGTACCTCCCTTCCCACGCTTCAAGTCGACCACACTCCCGTCGGACTTGGTCCGCGCATGACTAGTTTTGGTATTTTGATTACCGTTGGTGATATCACAATTCTCTGTCTCACTAGTATTCCTGTTCAAATTTTCGATCGACTCCCTCACCGTATTCCTGCCTTCCGAGACGGTCAGGTCGTCGGAGAGAGCTCTGCTTCTGGGTTCCGTCGAACTGTTGGCACTGGCTAAATTGTTTTCGGGATCGGGTCTGTGTCCGAGGAACTTCTCCTTGTCGGCGATGTTGTTATCGTGGCCGAGTTGGTACTCCTGCTTGCTCTGGATGGTGATGATGTTCGGCTGCTGCTTATTGGCGATGTTATACATCGAGCACTGGGTTTTACGAAGAGCGGAGTCTACGTCTATCGTCGGTCTGACTGTTAAGGAAGACGGCCTAGCTGGTACTTCGGGTTTCGTAGACGGGTCCTTCCTTCTGATCTGGGGTTCTTCGTGGGGCTCGATTTGAGGCTTTTCGGCTATCACAGGCGGGGGGGCACTCGGGTGGGTTACTTCATATACTACGCTACTAGTGTACCTCGCTTCGAAAGGTTTGGTTTGGACTTGCTCTGGCTGCTGCGGTGGTTTGACGGTGCTACTAGCGGCTTCGGTCATCGTTGCTCTATGTCAGCAAACACCGTGGCTCGGAGGGTGCAAGACATCACAGAAAATATATCATCTCAACTGCCTGACAAAAATGGACATCATAAGTGGTTTTCTCTAGCATTGGATGAGTCAACGGATGTGTCAGATACTGCTCAGGTGTCGCGGTCCGGATTGATGACACTGGCGGGCCGTAGTTTGGAGACCCCTGATATAGAATAAATCAAGATCCTGTGAAAACTTGTTTGAAGATATTTTAATTCTGTTAGCAGGAAAAAGATAGGCATAACTGGTTGAGTGGAATAAAAAATTGCAAAAATCCCATGAGTACGGGTATTATAAATAGGAGTTTTCAATGAAATAGTCTGGAGTATTTGTGGACAGTTGATATTACCAGAGAGAATTTTTTGCATGAATATTACATCACTGACACATCTTCTGTGAGAAAGTGGCTGAATATTAGTAATTTTTTCTACTTCAACTTACTCATATTGCTCTCGGAATAAACCCAATCTCAAAAATGTTTCTTGGATATTGTATTAGTGTGAAGTTACCCACAACTTCTCATCCACAGTTTATGACGAGGGACAATCGAACAGGGTTTACAATGAGATTTGCTAACAGTGTTGCCAAACTGCAAATATTAAGAATTTTTCCTGTATTTCGATGTTATCATATTACTTTTCATTAAAACCAACTTACTTCAACTCGAACAATTTGTATCTTATAATGCCTGTGATTCTTTTTATTACAATTCTTCATCTACAGTACCTTAGGGGTCTAATCTCGGACCACTTCTGTTCTTATTATTTATTAATGACCTCAGTAATCATGTCGATTGCAGATGATTTTAAAATATATTTGCCTATCGAAACTATCGAAGACTAATACATTGCAACGATAGTTAGAAAATATACAGACTTGGTGTGAAGTTAACAAACTATATCTCAATGCATCCAAATATGAAGTGGTGTCTTATAGTAGAAAAATGTCAGTCATCGAGTACAATTATCGAGTAGATACCATTTCACTGTCACGAAGTAACTCAATTGAAGATCTTCGTGAATATTTTGATCAAAATTTGTCTTTTTCCAACCACATTAGATCGAAAGTAAGTGAAGCATTGATAGTTTATGGCTTCATAGTTCGCAAGTATCAAATATATCTGCTTTATTTACTCTTTATGTAGCCTACGTAAGGTCAAAATTAGAATATGGCTCTGTTCTATTGTCTCCATTCTACAATTGCTTTAATGCATTAATTGAAAAAGTTCAAAAAATTTAATATCTAATATCAGTATGGGGAATGGCAACAAATTCCTTATTGAAACCAATTACAAAATTTCCGAACAAAATTATAAGGTACACAATTGTGTTTGTGTTGATGTTTTGTTTGTGTTGTGTTGGTGGTTTTTGTTTTGTTTTGTGTTGTGTTTGTGTTTTGTTGGTGGTGTGTTGGCGTTTGTTTTGTTTGTGTTGTGTTTATGTTTTGTTGGTGTTATGTTTATGTTTTGTTGGTGTTTTGTTTGTGCTATGTTTATGTTTTGTTGGTGTTTTATTTGTGTTGTGTTTATGTTTTGTTGGTGTTTTGTTTGTGTTGTTTTGTTTATGTTTTGTTTTTTATGCTGTTTCTTTTGTTGGTGTTTTGTTTGTGTGTTTATGCTTTGTTTGTGTTGACTTTTATGTTTTGTTTATGTTTTGTGTTAATGATTGTGTTTTGTTTATGTTTTGATGGTGTTGTGTTTGTGCTTTGTTGGTGTTTTGTTTATATTTTGTTTGTGTGTTGTTTATGTTTTGTTTGTGTTGTGTTTATATTTTGTTTATGTTTGTGTTGTGTTATGTTGGTGTTGTGTTTATGTTGGTAGTTTTTTGTGTATTGTATGTGTTTGTGGTGTATTGACGTTTATGATTTGTGTTTATACATTATTTATGCTTTGTTGGTGTTTTGTTTGTGTGTTTATGCATTGTTTATGCTTTGATGGTGTTTTGTTTGTGTTGTGTTTATATTTTGTTTGTGTCGTGTTTATGTTTTGCGCTTGTTTTGTTTATGTTATGTTTATGTTTGTAAACACCACATAAACACAAACAAAACATAAACACACCACAAACAGTTGTGTTTTGTTTATGTTTTGTTTGTGTTGTGTGTATGTTATGTTTGAGTTGTGTTTTGTTTATGGTGTGTTTGTTTTGTTTATGCTTTGTTGTTGTATTGTTTGTGTTGTGTTTGTGTTGCGTTTGTGTGTTGACGTTTGTTTGCTTTTGTGTGTGTTGGTGTTGTGTTTTGTTTGTGTTGGTGTTTTGTTTGTTTGTGGTATGTTGGTGTTTTGTTTGTGTTGAGTTTATGTTTCTGCTTTGTTTATGTTGTATTTGTGTTTATAGTGTGTTGGTGTTTTGTTTGTTTGTGGTGTGTTGGTGTTTTGTTTGAGTTGTGTTTGTAGTGTGCTTGTGTTGGGTTTTGTTTGTGTTTATGTTTTGTTGTATTGGTGTTGTGTTTGTGTGTGTATCAGAAAAGTAACTATGGCATAACTAAGTACGAACAGAGCACAAAAAAACAAATATAAATCAGAACTGAAACTTAGTTCCTGAATTATTGTTTTTTTCCTGCCATAAACATTGCATATTTCTTGGTAAATTAAATTCTTATGCAACCCAAATTCATAAGTTACAACAAGTTCAAAGAAAAATACCCAAAAACCACACATACAATTATCAATTGTTTTCTATTGTAGATCTCCAAACACTCCGTAACAGAAGGGGTGATCCAGATTGATAGGGCCATAAATTCTGTGATACATATTCATACAAACATGTTTCTTGTAATTGCATTTGTAATCGTTACCTGTGTATCTTTGTGTTTTTTTGTATTGTTATATTGACATTCAAATATTTGTATCTTCTGTAATTGTATTGAGTGAAATGGGTTTTGAGCTCGTAAATAAATAAAATAAAACAGTTACCTGTTACTGACAACGGTTGAAGCTTTCACAATCGTCTGACCCACTCCGTCCTTTGTGCTGGTGACTTTCTTAGAGGTGTCGCTCCCCCTCCCGATGGTCCCGGTCGGGTTCCTAACCTTGCCGGTCGGAGAACTGACGGGCGTACTGGAAGACACTTGCGGCAACTTGGCGCTAGGCGGCTTGCTAACTGGAGAACTAGAAGTTTTGCTGGAGGAAACGCCTTGCGAGGGGAGTCGGCTCATCATCGGGGGCACCGGGGCCGACTTCTTCTTCCTCTGGTTAGGCCGGGGGCTTTCCGCGCTGACGTCCAAACTCGAGGTGCTGGCTTTGAAGCCGCCCCCGGCTGCTTCGTCGTCCCTCAACATCTCTAGAGTGATCAATTTGCTGGTATCGTCCGGAAAGAGTACGTCGCTCTCTTTCACTAGGAGCTCGACCAACACATTAATAGTGACGCAATTCCCAATGTTCGTGTTGAGGTCTTCGTGCTTGTTCCACAGCAAATTCGGCGACAAAACGATAGCGATATTGGAGGCAGTCATTTTGTTCTCAGGGTGTTTCGTCAGCTTTGAGAGAAATTGGAAAAGGCAGGACAGGTTGTCTTGGTTCTCCTGAGGTAACCTAGAAATCAGAATATGTTTTAGTTTCATAAGTAGTAGTGGTGCTTACACTATTCAGTTAAATTATATTTCAACAAAGAAATAACAAATGCAAAAATTCACTGGGTAGATGAAACGAAGAGAACCGGTACAAAGGGAGCTATAAAATTTCAAGGAAAAAATAAACACATAGGACTGTGTATTCNAAAAAGTGTAGATCACGCACAGAAGCTCATTTCAGATACAAACTGAAAGAAAAAGCCCTTTCGAAACAAAATAGAGAAGTTACAGAAGTAGAAAGCCAACACGATTTTTTTTTACAAAAACAAATTCCTCCAAATTCATACATGAACTAAGTCCATTAAAATTTTAGTGAAATAATTCCTGGACTTCACTTACAGTCAGTGGGCATACTGACTATAAATCAAATCATCTAAAGGAACAATTTGTTCAGATCAGTCTCAACTCCCTACACTGTAGGTTAATGGAATGACACTTATCAGAAAACAACTACTCCTCCTAAAATCCAACGCCCTTCGTGGTATTAACCAGGGAGTAGTTGTTTTTTGATAGGTATCAGTCCATTAACCTACAGTGTAGGGAGTTGAGACTGGCCTGAACAAATTGTTCCTTTATATGATTTGATTTATAGTCACGCTTAAAGTATGCCCACTGATTATATGTGAAGTTTTTTTTCCTTATAAAAGGAATTGGACAAACTTCGGATATGCGGTTGGTTACCTCGTTCACAGGCAGTTGGAGCGATGACAAATCTGTTGTTTGTGGTCTGCTTCAGCCTAGTTCGAGGAATGATACTCTGAAGGAATTCGATTTTCAATTGTCGGAAATAATTGACTTTATGTTGATGATAAACACTATCTTGCACTGACGAGTGGCCAAACAGTCCGAAACCGGTCTGCAAGTATGTTCCAATAATTGAAAATCTATTGAAGTAGTTGTATCGCCAAAAGAATATGCAGAAATAACTTCAGTGAAGAATCCTGCACTGACACCTGTCGGATATAATCCAACGCCCTTCGTGGTATTAGACAGGGCAGTAGTTGTTTTCTGATAGGTGTCACTCCATTAACCTACATTATAGGGAGTTGAGACTGGCCTGAACAAATTGTTCCTTTAAATGATTTAATTCCTGGACTATTGCAATTACGAGAAACCGGTAAAGTATTTTGCTAACCTTCTCAATAGGTACAAAACAGTTCCAATTGTCTCCAGTTGTTGAAAACTTTTAAAAGCATTTCAATTTATACATTTATACGTAGTATAACAAAGAATAACTGTCTATTTTCCAAATTGCTCAAAGTGTTGTTCAAAAATATTGCTGTTCCATCTTACCTAGCGATCAGTTCTTTGACAACTTGCAAGCGACGATTCTCCGGCATCTGGGCCGCTTCTATCCAGTCTTTGTGTAGGTGGAACGTCAGCAGAGGCTCCGGCAGTTCTCTGAGATACAATTTTAGCAAGCTGGCTAGGGTGTGCACGTCCCTATACTCGGGGATCAGATCCGAGAGGCATCCGGAGTCTATAGAGGCTTTCAATCGTTTTACCTTCGAAGTGCTCCCCGCTATGCGAAACAGACCTTCTTCTTTCATACCATATTCAGTCAGCGCAGTTATGCATATTTCTAAAGGATAGGCTATTCTTTTCCCTGTTATCCGCAGATGCTCTTTCAGAGATGTTCCGAACACTCTTCTCACACAGCTATCACCTGAAAATCAATGAATCGAATAGTAAGTACCACACACTGCCTAATTTCCAATTGAGATATTGACAAGTATTTTCCTCTTGTTCTCTGGGAAAAACAAAGAACAATAAAATATAAATGGGAAAATGAAATCGTATCATAAAAAGAATGAATGAAAAAACGTGTGCGTCTCGGGGCGCCCGACAGAAGTGATAACTTAAACTAATCTAAGATGAGCTATTTGATGTTGAAATTGTTTAATTTGAGAAAAAATTAGGTCATTACTTAAATTTTATGCACATTA